CTAAGAAACATGTGGCACTTGTGATGAGGGGCCACAAATGATCATTGCTTGGTTTCAGGGGCCACAAGCTGCAAAAGGTCGGAAAATCGCCCCACATTTTATTATTCAACACAAGCTGTCCCCTGATGGCAAAACCGTGTGGATTTTGCAGCGAGGCCCAAGTAAGGAAGTATGTTCCCTGAGCAGGCTGGGATAACCTAAGCTCCTGAAGCTTCCTTCAGTGGATTCCTATTAGCAGAGCTTAAATGCTGTCATTTCAGTTAAGCCAGGGCAAATCACCTGAGCTCCACATCTAGTAGGGGGATGGAAGAGAAAATGAGCCAGATGATGAAATATAGGCAAATGACGAAACAGCCGCGTGAGGAAGACGACTGAACGGAGTTAAATTGGAGTGAACGGAGCAGCAGGCGTTTACAGAATCAATCCGTTCCTCTACCAACTGACCACACACACTGCGAGGAGGCCTGCTCTACAACTCCAGGGCTCCTATTACCATGTGATTAACCTCTTCAGGATTAACTGGGCAGCAAAGACACGGGGAAAGGTCGAGGGTCAGCTCTCAGACAGCCACTCCCGCATAAAGGGTGGCCTATTAAACGGAAAGGCCACGCTCAAATCTGCTCGCCTGTCTTCGAGCATCTTTTTGATACATACTGTGTCATTCACCCTGCAGTTCTCATCACTCCGTGTTAAATTCCAACAGCATGCAAGGTCAGCTGCCTTATTATTGTAAAAATACAAAAAGCGGTTGTACTCAATTAGAAAAAGGCACTTTGAAAATATAAACACACCGCCAAACACCTGGTGTGTGTTGGCAGCCGTGAGACAGACTGCAGGTGGGAAGGAATTAAAGCGAGCCTACACTGGAGGAGGCAATCATGAATAAAACATTGCACTCTTGTACTTGTTGAGGCTATAGCTTTTTAGCACTTCTATAACTCCTGTCTTTGTTTTCACCCACTGGTAGCAAGAAAGTAGACTTTTTATAGTAAGATGCAATTCAAAGTCGATTTGCTAGATTGCACAAGCTCACACGCAAGCTTTAAAATCTCATCAATTAGCAAGCAAACATGCGGCAACTAAAAAGGTTCCTGTAATTTCTTCCCATGACTGATGTCATTTTGTCTTTGTCAGTTACTCCAACAGAAGAAAAAGAAAAATTGCCTCAGCAGGAGGCTGGTTTCATTCGTTTCCCGAGACTCAACTTGCCACCACAACTACTGTGTGTGTGTGTGTGTGTGTGTGTGTGTGTGTGTGTGTGTGTGTAGGTGTGTGTGTGTGTGTGTGTGTGTGTGCTTTTAAAAAGCGGGCAGCTGATGGCAACCTGCCACAGACTTCTGTGTGTGCGGATCCATGACGGATGGAGGAAACATGTGGGAATGTGTTAACCTTTGTGCCCAGACGAGGAACTTGTGTGAGGGATGTTTTACTGTTTTATTTTTTTTTTTTTTTAAATCTCTTGCTGTCTGGTGACATAAATCTGAAAAACTTCCTAATCTCTCTGGCAGTGTGACAAACAAAATCCTCTCCAACCTTCACATAAACACTCTGGTGGTTAGTGCATGACTTAGCTGAGGATCCCCACAGAAATATCACAAACTACCGCAATTCCTCTGAGTTATACAGAGTTCTTAGCATCTTTCAGCTAATTGATTTTATAGCCTGCAGCTATTTTGGGCACAAAAAAGCATTACAGTTTCACTGTACACTCCCTGTCCAGCACTAAACAGCACACAGAGGAAGTTGGCAACTAGCTGATAGACAAAGTTGAGTAACTAAAGAGGCAGATAATTCCCGTCGGAGTTGGTAGAGCCCAAAAACAGAGTTAAACAAGATGAATACTGGACTTACAGCAGCATAAACAACTCCAAATGTGCCCCATATATGCAAAATAAATAAGCAACTTACTGGCTTCAAAGGTGACAACTGTCAGTGATGTGTTTTCACCACCACCAAGAGGCCCAATAAAATTATTGCACATTTCTCAAATCTGTATCTCAACGAAACTTTCCATTTCTCTAAACTTTGTGAAGAGTCAAAAATAGGTCAAATTTTGCTTCAAACCCCTAACCAGATCTTTATTACATGATGTTGAAAGAAGAACCAAATCAGACTACAAATCCTGCAAGGCATTCAATACCAATATTCAGATAACAGATACATTTCTTGAAAACATGACTATTTCAAAGCATCTGAGACTGATTGTTCAGCAGGTTTTGGTAAATTAATATTTTTTCTGTTATTTAGCATCATTTCACATTCTTGCTGTTTGTACAGTTAAACCTCACCATCCCACACATTGCTTTAGTTTTCATGCAGAGACTCAATGTGGGATTATTTAAGGCCAAATTAGCTGCCACAGAGCTATTAATAATGCACAATACAGCTTAAACAATTCCTCGCCCAATTTTTTCTTTTCCCTCCAAGTATGAGCATGTAAGTGAGGGACAAACCAGATGACAGAATGAGAGAGAGAGAGAATGTGTTTACCATTTCTTCCCTGAAGCGTGACCCCATCATCTACATTCACATAGACACTGAGATGAAAGCCCCTCTCGCGTTCTTCCTCTGTGATCTTATCTGATTGTTCTTTATCTTTTTGTTTACCAGGGACCCAGATGAGGACGTGCATTAAATCTCCTTTAAATCTCAGGCTCCTGTGTTGTGTTTTTTTTGTGCTCGCCATTCTTTTATTAAAAAAAAAAAAAAAAAAAGACAAAAAGCTCTGGTGCAACTCACTACTTCTTTAAGACCATAAACCAATCTGTGCCAGCATGCACAGAAAGCTGTTATAAAAGGCATCTGCACACACTCTAATGTGCAGTTTCACACACACACACACACACACACACACACACATATATACACAGCAACCGAACCAATCGTTTAAGGTCTCTGAGGCCTCGATAAGCTTCTGTAAATCAGCCACCATCCGGCAGTGAGTTTTATTCCCCTCTCTCTCGGTGGATGTTGGGTTATGACCCGTAGGCAGGAGGTTATTTATTGCTTTTGTCTCGGCTTGTGTTGACTCCCAGCCACTCATCTATGGTCCTAGGCTAATAGAAAGCAGCACAAGGATTGCAGATCTGCAGGAAGCCCGCTAAGCTGCAGGGACTCGGCTCGATAGTCTGCTCAGAGCCTCGTCACCCCCCTATTCTTAATGTCTCTCAATTCTTCGGCTCTCTTCCTCTACTTTTTCGGTAATGGCCAAAATCAAAATGAAACTGAGCTGTGAGTGAACCTGGGGTGAAAGAGTCCCTATCAATAAGTGTTAGCATGAATGTGCAAAAGAGAAAGGAGGGTTAAACAGCTGAAAGACGCCCACGGACCATAAACATTTCCCAGAGGCTGCTGCCAGACATGATAGACAGCCAGCAGCCTGCTGGTCTGCCTCTTTCTCCAGCACCTAAGAAACATCTCTATTCTAAGTGATGGCTGCCTCCTTTGTAATGGAAACTTGAGACGTTATGGTGGAAAATAGCGAAAGATGAAAAGAGTAAATCGTCAATGCCTGAATGAAACTTAACCTTGACGCTCCGTCTCCATAGCGATGCCATTTTTGATGAGCAACACCAACCACGTATTCTTAAGAAGACCGTGGTTGCTAAGAAGGTTGCAAAAGACCTTCCCACCCTTTTCCCCGCACCTTCTTTAACTTCGCACGGCACCGCAAAACAACCTCAACACGGCTGTCATCCTTTACAATGAACCGTCTAACCTGAACTGGCAACTCCAACCTCAGCACGGTTTGAAATACAGGCCCACCTGCCATTTCTACAGTGCTGACAGCAGCTGACAGTTAAGAGGAACAACCACAGACTGAGAATATATGAAGGGGTCCTTGAGTGATGACAGCACGGGTAAGATCGAGAGCTGTGATGTAATGGAGACAAGGCCACTGACTGATACTATGAAAAAGGGCGGTTTGTCGGCTCCAGTTCACCACCATTCATATCCAAGATGTATGTTTGCGGGCGCTAACAGCTAATAGATGAATTCTACATCGGTGTCATCTTGTTTGTAGGGGGCAGTGTATATGTGAAGAGTGTGTGTGGGAGTGTGTGTGTGTGTGGGTTAGTGTATTTGACCGGGGTCAAATGGTGTACAAACAGCCTACTCATGTCAGGATAATAGAGCGAGAAATCTCCGAAGCTGAAAACCTTTGACCTCACTCAAACTGAGATTTTACAGGAAAGGTGCATGTATTCACATGTGATCTTTGTTACCAGAGCAATCATATTGTAAGATGGTTTAACTGTTAGTCTTTCTAGCAGCAGAATAAAGGGAGGTTTTCAATCAAATCCAAGATCTGAGGTTTGGTTTAATGTTAAATCCAAAATCAGATGTCAGCCATAATAATCGGATAATAATAATCTAGACTTCCCAGTCTAGTTGTAATATCAGAAATGATGTTTTAATGTCCATGATATAATTGCAGATTCAAAGCGAACACAGACAAACTTCTAACAGATCAAGGTAAAAGCGGCCTTCTGGCGCCTGTAAATGAGTCATTCTGCAGTGAAGCTCAAATATCACAGTAAAGTAAGAATAAGAAAAACATATTTTGAGTGAAAGGGGTCAGTATTTTTTCTGAACTACAATTTCTCTCTTTTTTCAATACAGGCGTCATTTTTAGTGTTGTGAAAATCTGTGTTTTACTGTCTCTAATTTGATGTAGGCAGCTGTATCACTGAGTGTCTGGATGTGTGTGTGTGTGTCCATCTGCATATTGTCAGAGATGCTGCTATAAAAAAAATTTCCTTGTAGAATTCCGACACAATGCTCGTCTAAACAAACAACAGATGGGAGACAAAATAAAAGGAAATACCTGAACAAATCTAGATGTGCCCAATACAAAGCACAGGGAATATCTTTCTTTCCAACAGACTTCCACAAGCTTTCAAAAGCTGTTTTAGAGATTCTTTGTCTCACTAAGACACTTGATGTTTGTTTAATCTGATTTGCCACTCATCCATAATATTAACTCCTTTAAAACAAACCTTTTAACAAGTTCGGTTCCATTCCAGCAGGACAGCCCGTCACCAGATGCAAGTTCACTCACACACAGCTGATCCGCCAGGCCACCATAGTAAGTGCGGTAGAGACGTAGACCGTTCAGAAAGTCCCTGAAAAAGCAGCAGACATACGAAGGCACCCGTTAATTAACTTGTTCGATAAAGTGCTTTGCATGTTAATTGTGGATTTAACTCGCTAAAAATCACAAAATCTGGCACCTTTCCTCCCACTTACCTCCTCTTGACAGCAAGCGAGTCTGCTGACACTCTGACAGCAGCTTTAACGGGGATGGATTCTCTGCTGCTGCTGCTGCTGCTGATGCCGTGCTGAATGCTGACTGACTGTGCAGGCTTCCTGCTTGGTGGGCCACACAGTTTGTGCACCTAATACACAATGAGACAGACACAAATTGAAGTCTAAACACTGAGGGAGGCAAATGCATTTTAAGAATTTGCAAATCTTGTTAAACTTTACTGGTGCATGACAAATAGGCCTTATTTTAGATGGCTGAGTGACAGATGTTTATACTAAGGTCATTAGTGCAGCCAAGCCTATCATCTCCAATTTCTGAATGTACTGCATGTGTAGTCGATCAAGCAGCAGCCACTCTAGTCAGCCACTAGATGGAGCTGTGGTGTCTCAATTAGTACAGCAAAGGAACAACCATTATATGGCAGTCACACAACCCAACAAATGGCATCAATGCATAAAGTTACATGAAAAAAAATATTGGCTTACTCCAGTATGACAAGCCTGCACTTATATGTGCTATGTACAATTTATCTTTGGTTTTAGCACCAACTGGCAACATGGAGCAATCAGCTGTAACAGCAATGTAAATTAGAATAAAAATTGCCGCAGGGGCATCCAAAATGCTTTAACCATTCTCCTCTCATGGGCTCCGTAAAATTTCTAGGTGACACTGGTTTTCACTTGCTCCAGAGACCCAATCTAGTTTTCAGGCCTAAAAGACAATATTAAATCTCTGTTCATGATCTTAACCTGTGCTGAGACGCGGGGTCCATTTTTCTGAGCATGTCCAACAGCATCATGAAGCAGCATGTGTACTCCCAGAAGCACTTGCTCCAGATCCTGAGGTCCGTACATCCTTGCAGACAGGCCCTCCAGCGAGCGAACAAACTCCCTCCAGTGGGTGTCGATCTCGGCCATGCTTGCCAAACACCCCCGCATCACATTGAGGCAGTAACCCATGCAGGGCTTGGACTGAGTTAAACCCTGTGGAGCAAATTACTGTGAGATCACTGCTGGCAGTTTAAAATTAAAAAAAAAAAAAAGGTAAAAAGTTCATTAATTCAGATCAATACACTCTCTTCAGAGACATGCATCCACACCTGGCAATGAGGACAGAAATGCATCTTGAGCAGCGCTCGCCTGCACTCACGGCTCAGCTGTAAGTGGTCTGTGGTATTGATGACCTCGATGCCGAGGTGCAGCGCCTGGAGCAGAAGCTTCCCGGAGACCCCAGAGCGAGCAATCTGATCAGCCAGGAGGCCAGGCGCCCCACCAAACGGTCTGACATCACGGCTCAGTGACCTCACACACTCGGCGTAGCCCGGTGATATGTCGCTGAGGCCGGGGTTGATGAGGTGATTGTAGACCAATGGGAAGAGAGCATCGAAGAACCGCTGCACCAACTCATCAATGTTGAGCTCGGACCCCAGCAGGAAGAGTCCGATGTCGGTGAAGAGTTCCCGCACAGCGCCCATGGCCTCATCAGCCATGTTGTGGTATGACTGGTGGAGGACAGCAAAAGTGTGATTCTCCGCCTGCCTCATCAGAACCTCAAATGTCTCTGTGGGCCAGAAAATGAAGAAAGAAATAAGAAAAGAAAAACAAAAGATTACACAGGGACTGCTCAGCACATGATCCTCAAAGTCAGGTTGCACTGGCTGCTTGTTGAGAACCAGAGATGCAAAGAGAAAGAAAATTCAGGTAATAATTCAGGCTTTACTTTAAAATGAACCATGCGACACATATAGTACGGTGCCCTTATAGAGTTTGTAGTTCTATTAAGCCAGAACGTGGAGAAAATACACAGAATTGAAGAGGAAAAGTCTCCAGGGCTCCCAGCAGGAGATCTAGCCCCCTGCGTCTTTCCACATAGAGAGGAGAGGACATGTAGCGAAGCAATTTGTTCTCTAATCAAAAGTTGAGCTGACAAAGGAAAATAGGAAAGTAAGGGGAAAGAAAGGGGTTACAACATAGAGTGGGCCCTGCTGTGATATAATATGAACAGAGCTACAGTATGTATAGTGTTTTAATCAATGAACCGCTTTAATCAAAGCAGTGTGGCGGCAGGAGAGAATAAGAGAGGAGAGAGGAAAAGGAGAGGGGCAAGGGTTAAGAGACTCAAATGAGGGGGAATAAAGGTTAAGAGTGACAAGGGGGATAGAGAATAGAAACTTTTACAAATTAATTCCTCAGTGAATACAGAATTTTAATAATGTCCATTCTTTTGCATACAGCACATCCATACAAGGCATCTAGCTTGCCATTATACAAGCATGCATACATAAGAGACTACATGCTTTACAAGGACAAGATGCTCGCTAATCACAACCGAAAAGTAAATGTTAAGGAGCTTTTAAGCCGTGTGGGACGCAAAAGTCTTACCACTCCTGAAAATGTTTACATCTAAGGAATTCTAATGCTCAGGCCGCTGCATCAGGACAAGAAAAATCATATCATGCTGATGCCCCCATATCTGCCACAGTACTGCACTAAAACGCTGTAAGCTGCATCTAACTTTGCTTGCAAATGTGTTTCTGTGTGAGTTTTAAAAGCAGTGGTTTAGGGGGAAATGTTTAGCTTATGCAGCATTAGTCACAAAAGGGGAAAAAATGTCCAGGTGCACCACAGATATACTTAAGGACACAGAAAAGATCTATCAGGCACTGGTGAATTCAAAAATGTAGAACAACATGCAGGTACAGACAGACTTTGATATGTTGGAAATGTTTCTGCTGGGCCTCGGAAACAGTTAGCTGGAGGAATCGGTGACCAAAATCCAGAGATAAGCACGAAAATGTCTTTTTTTAAAAATAAAATCATTAAATTTGCTTTCATTTTTGACTAAAGAGCAATAACTCAATATCCTATTACAATTTCCCTAAACATGACATGAGAACATGATAAGGCAGCTCTGCAAGTCTTGCCAGACTTGAAGGAATAATCTTAGCACAGCAGAAAACATTTCACTTGTGCAACAAGGCCGCCTTTATCCCTTTGTCTCTCTCTCTCTTTTTTTTTTTCCCAGTTTTGTCTCAGCTAATACCTGAGCCATGGCCATTCTCACATCATGTGCCTGTCATGGGTTGTGAGGCAATAGTGAGGGTGAACGCCTGGAGCTGCCTAGGGGGGCTGAGAGTCTGGAAGGGGGTAACCAATGTGATGAGGGCTTAGACGGTCCAATGCTGCATAATATGCACCGATGTGGAAAGGTTGACCGACAGCCCCCCTGGTGAGGAGAGAACAGAGAGGGGGTCTGACACGCCTTACAGGCACACACCGTCTCTGTGGGGCAGCATTAAACACTGAAGTACCAGGAACTGAATCTGATCTCAGGTCTTCTGTGATCTTCTTGCACGAATGTGATGTGTCTGACAACATCTGAGACTGTGCTTATGTGTGAATGAGAAGAAAAAAAAAAAAAAAGCTGCACCTCCTACACAACAAGCGCTCTGGTCAGAGAGCAGCATGAAAAACAGAGAGATTGGCAGCCATGAAAGTGTAGTGGGTACGTTTGTGCATGAAAACAGAGAAACAACAGGCGCACCGACGAGCAGAGAAATACAGAGAGATGGAAATATGTGCTCGTGGAGTACAGTCGGAGATTGTTACGACCCTCAGGTGTATACAGCCGAGCAGGCAGAGTTATGAAGGGTCCCACAGGGATTACGGCGAATGCTTCAAGGAGGAGGGTTTACCGTATTAGATTATGGAGTTAATGAATCCCACCTGTCAAAGCACATAATGAGTATCTGTGCAGTAAACAAATTTGTCTTTGTTTTATCTTCCCGACATCAACGATTTTCCCGTCATAGGCAGATAAAGGCAAAGTAATAAGAACTTGGCTAATAAGCTGATCAGTAATTCTGCTGTCTAAACTAGTCTGTTCTACCCACACTGAAGTTTCCAACTGTCCACGTAGTGTTAATGATGCTATTTTTCACCAAAGCTAGAGCATTAAGCAGTGTCTCTCACTTGGAGGCCTTGACCAGCAGCCAGGCTTCTGGGGAGGCCTGAGGATAGAAAAAAGATGAGTAGAGGGGAAAATTAGGAGAGAGTAATGAAGAAGAGATATAAGGAGGATGAGAAGACGGTACAACTTTCACATTTTTGAAACAGAAACAGTTGTGCAAAATTTTGAAAAAGACGAAATATGTCTTTTTAAATCAGCTTTCATCAGTGTTTTCTATGTGTTTAATAAAAAGGTCTCACAAATATACAAATCTCACTTTTACAGCTTTCCATGCTAGTGTTGGTTCAACTGTCAACGCTCTCATCAACCTTGTTTTCAGGTCGAGTACAAAGACTTTCAGCTGTGACTAATCCACAAGAAGATGGCAAACAAACAAAGATGGCAACCAGTGGATGACAATAGTGAAGAGAAGAGAAGAGAAGAGAAGAGAAGAGAAGAGAAGAGAAGAGAAGAGAAGAGAAGAGAAGAGAAGAGAAGAGAAGAGAAGAGAAGAGGATTTCTAACTTCCTACATTTATAAAGGCACATTCTGGAGTAGGAGCTAAAGAGGATGCCACACTGTGCCTCTTTAGCCTGTGTGTGTTCTGAGTGTCAACGACCCAGCTGATAAGAGATGAGCAGACATGTTTGCATTTCTGGTGATGGGAGGAACAGGAAGAAGAGGATGATGGAAAACATGGTGTGGAGTGACTTGTTATACTGTGACTGAACATCTGGTCTACAGCAGCTGCACACATGGTGGGTATCATAGAAGGTGAAAGGTGAATACTTGTTATTTGTGTTTGCACGTGTGTTGATATTAGATACTCACAGATTATCTACAGAGACTTGATGGCATCGATATGAACATGATACATTTACGGACACCAACATAATCCTCAAGCGTAAAAATAACAAACATTGCAAACAGCAGAACAATGAAATCAAAACCACATGCATGCAGTATAAAAACTGAAGATATAGAGTGATAAAATAGTATGAACAAGCAGTAAATAAGTAACCAGTGAGAAAAAACACTATGCAGCCAGAAAACATTCAAATAATAATGAAAATTAAATGTATGCACAGACAGGCTATATAGAATTTCAACTATGTAATAAGAAACTGGGTGTTGAAAGGTTTTGTTTATACTTTGGCTCCAGAAAATATCAGCATATGTGTTCAAATTATAAAATATTGGGAGTGTTTTGATGGAAACATGGGCTTTTAGTGAAATTTTAGAGAGTAGAGAAGGAGAAATTCTTTGAGCAATTAGCATGTGCTTTTAGGTTCAGTGTATTTCAACATATTTCATTTGCATCCTATGAACATAAGAAGAAGTTAAGGAAATCTCTGTAACGTTTAATCCATCTTATGCATCATTTAGAAGCACTTTAAGAAGCCATTACGGCATGCCACCCATCAAACTGCATGGATTCCTAACTCGCCTGCTGGCACGGTAAAATAAACTCTGATATATGAACAATTCATGTTTGAAAGCTCCAGCATCCCTGGCTATCATCCAGATATATTGGCTATTCAATACCAATCACAAAGCTCCTTCAGTGAAATTCCTCCGAAGCTGAGCTTTTCTCCATGTCTAAAAGGCTTTTAAATTTGATCCCATTTTCTCTCTTTCTCCCATAATTGCTGCATTTCTCATTTTCTTTAATGTCGGATGATCTGGTTAACTGTGACAGGGGTAGTTAACTGAGTGATGAGTTACACTTCAGGTCAGGGCCTTTGGCAGCTGGCACTCTCCTATACCTTTGCTCTCTATGTTTCTATGCATTTGATAGTTCAGGGACTAATGGTGATATTTTGACATGAACTTAACAGATAATACATCAGATGCAGATATGAGAAAATACAGAATTTATCACTGTGGTTTCAACAAACCAAACACAAGGACCATAAGCCCGTTGAACATAAGGAAATGCTGAGTGCTGCTTTCACCAGCAGAGGGAGACATTTCTTGTATTAATGTGCACACACTGGATCAGTGTTGCCTATTAAAACTGACTATGACATGTTGCATGTTCCTAACCATGCTGTTATTTTTTTAAATCAAAAGTCAAAGTTTAACCAATCTAAAACGGCTCCAGTGGCAGATCTGCACATATTCCTGTACTGCAGGAATACTGCAGAGGATTCTACTTGTTGATTAAACCGTCTCTTCCTCCTCTTCCAATAAATATTTAGTCACTCGAAAGTGTCTAAAAGCACCCAAAAAAACAATGCATTCAAAAAAGAAAATGTTTCTTGATATCAAGGTCAAGATTTGGTGCCGCAGACACCTCCTCCTATACAGACGGTGAGAATAATTCCTCTGTGACTTTTTGTGAGCAAGTTTGTCTTTTCTTGTGAGTAAAACAGCCTCAGATTTGGTTTATAAATGACCCTGACTTTGCTGCGCTATTTATAACAGCAAAACCTGAAAGTGGTGCTACAATTTCACCAGCAAATATAATGGCTTAACAGGTATTTGTGCATGCAGCGCTAATGTATTGCATCAACAAGTCTGCTTCTTTGTGTGTATATTTGTATTCATAGACATGTCATTGAGGAAAAAGATCAGTCAGCGGGATGAGAAATAAGATGAGCCTTTGTAGC